TTTAAAAATTGAAGGAGCATTAGAAGGTTTTATGATAATATTTAACAGTATTCACTAAATGTATATGTAGTGTGAAAGGAAATACTGCATATTAATAAAAACCAACAAAGGAATGAGTGAAGAGATTAGCATTGGGTTCTCATTAAGCAGAAAATGGGCCCCTAAATTCAAAGCTTGATGATTTTCCATGGGACTTTCAGGATATTGACTTATTCATTGATTTTTATTTTGAACATAATAGGAGCCATATACTAGCAGGACCTAGTGTATCAGCATTTTAATGTGCATTAAAAGCTATGAATGCATCCAGGTGGATTTTTGCAAAAAACAAACAAAACAAAAACAAATGCCCAGTCATTAACTGGGACTGTGAATAAAGAGGGTGGGAAGAGCCTAGAATTGTGTTTTGGTCTAGATGACTGAATGCACTGTGGTGTCATCAACCAAGTGAAGGAGGATTGCTGACCAGATGGGTCAGTAGGCATGCCCTGCACTCAGCCCTGAGCCAACACAGGAACTAACTCTGCAACCACAATCTACTAGTTGGATGACCTTGTGCTAGATATTCAAATCACTCTGTGCCTCAATTTCCTTACCTGAAAAATCAGAATGATATTATTACTATCTTAGAGGACATTTGTGATTATAACATAGAATGTGAGGGCTGAGGCTTTAGTATCATGCCTGACACATAGTAAATGCTCAGTAAATGGAGTCCTGGTGTGGTGCTGTGGGTTAATGCGCCAGACTGTAAAGCCGTTTGAACTGTAAGGTTGGCAGTTTAAGCTCACCAGCGTCTCCTTGAAAACCCTATACAGGGTCGCGATGGATCGGAACCAACTCGACGGTACTTAACAACAACAACAATTGGTATTAAGGAGCGCTGGTAGCGTAGTGGTAACGAATCGGGCTGCGAACCACAAGGTCAACAGTTCGAAACTACCAGCTGTTCCGCGGGAGAAAGATGAGGCTTTCTGCTCCCATAAATATTTACAGCCTGGGAAACCCTGTACAGGGTCACTATGAGTCGGAACCGACTCCACAGCACATAACAGCAACAACAATATTGTTATTATTGGGTGATGCAAATGATTAACATGCTTGGCTGAAAACCTGCATGACTTACAAGTTCTTCCATAAGAGAAATCTTATTGTTAATGGAAAAGACAGGACTATTCATTAAAAGGCCTTGGTTTTAATTACTCTGCCTTCCTGGAGTTTAGTTTCCTTACCCACAAAATGAGAGAGTCAGGCTGTAAACAAACAGAATCAATACCTAAAGATTTGTCCAGGAATTACAATGTCTTTTCCATTTTTTAACCAAGTTGATTTTTTATAAGTCCTAGTGTGATGCTGTAGGATCAGCACTAGACTGTGAACCACAAGGTAGGTCGGCAGTTCAAACCCACCAGCTGCTCCTCAGAAACCCTATACAGGATCCCTGTGAGTTGGAAATGACTTGACGGCACTTAACAACAACAAATGAAGGCGTCAGGTGGGTATAGCTCCCTACTTTACAGATGAGGAAATTGAGGTACAGAGACATTATTTCTGGATCAGGCATCTGAAGTTGTAGTTGGCTCTTAGATTTAGGTTTTCTAGTTTCAAATCTAGTCCTCCTTCTAATACTACATTGCCTTTTAGTTCAAGTTTCCTTTTTGGTATAAAATCTGGGTGCTCTAATTTGTTCCAACACACTTCTTCAATCTTAGTTCATAGTTGTCAATAGTAGGATAAGCACCTTGCATGTGTATACACTGCACTACTATGTTTTTGTATTGCCCTTCCTCTCTTTTGTTCCCCTGTTCTAAGCTCTGGTTCAAGTTCCCAATCTCTTCATGAAGGCATAATGACTTCCCTGCTACATTCCCAGGTATGTTGTATTCTCTGGATTCCTCCAGCACATAGATTGTTCTTGTAATCATCATCCACCATTTGTATTTTGCTCTTTAGCTTTCATACATGCTAATCTTTTATGAAATGGATTATAATTTAGGAAAGAAACCTGGCTTCCTATTTTATTTATCTTATATGAGCATTTCTCTACATCACTAACACAACTCTGAGCATATCCTTGGGTTGACTGATTTTGTTAGATTTCTTTAGTGAGTAGGTGACTGGAATCCAGAGTTAGAAAATCTCGTCTGTGAATCTCTCCCTTTCTCCCTCTCTCTTCCTAATTTTAATTCTCTACTGCTGTAGTTAAATGCCTTTGAGTTGATTCCAACTCATAGTGACTCTGACTTTAAATTTCCAAGACTTTAAATCTTTGTGGGAGCAGAAAGTCTCATCTTTCTGCTGGTGGGCTGGAACTACCAAACTTGAGATTTGCAGTACATGCTTATCCTATAGAGCCACCATGCTCCTGTATTCTCTACTATGTAACTTAAAATTACTACCTTTAAGCATTAAGGATTAAACTGCTGCCCTAATCTACACTGGATAAATTTGGTACGGTTCTTCAGTCTTTATCTTTGTAGAAAATGCCATGGTAAAAGCAATGTTTCTGGTTTTGGAAAAAAGCTCACAAATTCCTAAGAATGCTAATAATCATAATACTTGATTTCTGATTCTGTGAAAGCAAGAGACACAAATAAATTATCCTGTCTTTTTGGGAAACAACAGAAGAGTTGATTGGAATAGATTTACCTATAATGAGATAACAAGATAAGGTTGTTTCTTAAAAGTACTTGGTGAGAACAAACAAGAAGTTGCTCTGCCGGCAACAACACAGAATACAGGACCAAGCAAGCTCAGGGGATGGTCCCAGAACTCTGAAC